ATGAAATCAACATTAATGAGCGCATCTTTACTCTCGATGCGTATTTGTAAGTGAAAGTAAGAGGCGGGAAAAAAGGGCCGGTTAATGATGATGACACCATACAATACAAAATGGTATAACTTCTTGAATGATTAATTATTTATTTATAGTTCATAACTATTTTATGTTTATTGCTAGCCATAAGGTCGTTTGTACAATCGTTAAGTTGTGAAGCCAGCCTACATTCGTCGCTGTTTCTTGCGCTCATTTCGATGCAGCGATCCAGATTCTTCTCCAACTTCTTCATTAACCGGGTATCCTTTTCGTAGAACTTGCTCACCAACGTTATAAGATTTCCTATTAGTAAATATATATTAGTAATACCGTATTACCCTAATACCATATTACACAAAGAGTTTCAAATAGAATAAAGATGATGGCTGGATTAATAAAAGAAAATCTATTTAGTCCCTCAGTCAGATAATACAAAAATATTTGTTACGTATTCTTTTTTCTGCTGTAACTTAACAAGATATGCCTTAGATAATAGGCATTAAAGTTGAAGAGTGGGGGCTCGCTACGTTAACTTACAACTATGTAGAAAATGTACAAAGGTGTGAAGCCATACAACATTTCAACCCATTACAAAATTAACAAACTGAGGGACACTCCTTATTTAGTGGTTTTGAGGCTGCTATATGCTGGTCCAGCAGGCCAATTCTGCTAAGATAATAATTGCATCTCAATAGCATTTCAAAGCCATTGCAAATCAACTTGTCTTTGAAATTCTATTGAGATAGATATTTTTGCTTTGTGATATTATTAGTGCAATGACTTTCCTCACGCATCAACGAAGACAGATATATAATCATATTAGACTTCAGGTAGATTGAACAATGGCAAAATGCAAGTACATAGTTAAGATTATATCGAGATGCGATTATTACGTTAACATTAGGACAATAGGGATGACGTATGGGTAAAAAAAAGGTTTTTAGTCCGTCGGTCATAAAGTACTCTTTGGTCAGATAATAGAAAAATATTAGATACGTATTATTTTACTTCAATTAACCAAGAAATAGCTTAGAGGACAGGCATTAAAGTTGAGGAGTGGGGGCTCGCTACGTCAGTTTTGTAGAAAATGTACCAAAGCGTGACGTCACGCGACATTTCCACGCAATGTATTGCAGTAATTTATAATTTCGCAAAAAAATAAAAATACACGTGTTAAATATTTCTCAACAATCTACCTGACGAATAAACAATCAAAAATTAGACGTCATCCCTATTGGTCTGCAATGTTGGCATCACATAACATGGCATACGCAACACCGTGAGGTGAAGTACCTACACCTAATTTTTATGTTTCGTTCTTTCTTTCTTTAACTATTTTTAAACCAACTTCAAAATCCAAAACGAGGTGGGTATATGTTAGACGGAGATGTATTTTATTTATGTATGTTCACGGCTTAATGGACCGAGGTCTCATTTAAATTTTATCCAAATCGAATCAGTAATTTTCCTTTTATAACAAAACAAAATACGCTTTTTACCGAATCTCACCCAAATATTAAGACATGCCCTTTCCAGCTAAAAAACGAAAGGTGAATTTTCTATATTCAAGGAGTGTGTATATTTTTAATGAAAGTAGGTATGTTGATCGATTTCTTGAATTGTAAACCAATTTCTATAAATTTAGCTGTTTCCCTGCGACTTCGCCTGCATTAATTAAATATTAATATTACATATATTAAACATTAAAGAACATCACATACATTGCTCAGATTCCTAGATGAGTATATAACCCCTGTATTATGGAGTATCTAAGACAACGAGGAAACACAACACCCAGACCTGAGGTAATATAGAAAAGTTCATTTTCTAAGATTTTCACTATGTTAAATATTTTCATTTATATAGATATTTAATATATTTTAGTGTTATGTCGCTAAAAAGCATGAAATAAAAACTTTAAAAAATAGAACCGACTAAAAAAACTTAAAAAGAAATGACAAATATTGCAAAAGCTACTTATTCAAGAAACAGCTATTGAAGTCGAGCGCCTATCATTTAATTAATAACCTACAGAAGAAATAAGTAACTTTTGAGATAAGCATTATTTGTCACTTTTTTTAAAGTTTGAAGTCGTAAAAAATATACACTCAAGTTAATATACGCACCCTTATTTATCTTTCCTTTTCCAATAACACCGTTCCGTTTCAAAACACAGGCTATTAGACATTCTCCGTGAACTGGCGATTCCTGTTTAGGTGAAAGCCTTTTTACAGGCCTCTTGTCATTAGCCTGCACTTCCTTGAGACATTCGCTCATGTTCTTTTTAAACTCAAGGACATGAGCAGCTTGCTCTTGGGGGATTGCACTGTAAGACCAGTCAGGTTCCCTATCTTCCTCATGTTTTCGATGACGATCTGATAATTTTATATGTAGAAATGTTTAAATCAAATAACGGGAGTAGGTAGCACAAGCCATATAGGAAAGATAATTTTCCATTATAGCCAGGAATCGAACCCTTGTTTGATTGAGATATGATCGAGATTGTTATATCGATTATTATATCGATTGCATAAGGAGTCAAGTTTCGTGAAACTATAAAAATATTTTTAATATAACTTCGCTTGGCTAGTAATTCTGAATTCATAGGCATTCTCATGACAATTAAATACCCACTACAGGTATTGTATCTGTGACATTTGTATAGTATTATAGATAATCATAAAGTTAGATAATTCTTGTTGTCAAAAATAACGAAAAATAACTTACTCTTATTATTCATCCGAGCTTTGTTTTCCAATTTTAAATTACGCGTTATGATCGTGTCCTTATCAATTTTAACATCATGTATGGCATCGACCCCCATTAACCTATTCTTTTCGTATGTATCATCATTAGCTTTGGTGGCATCGCTTTGTAAAACTTTGTTTACAATAAGAAAAATAATAATGACACGCAACATTCTAACGGAATGCAGTCTAAAGATTCCAGTTAGATATGCAGCCAGACCAATTTAATTTTAATAAAGAACCGAACATTGTTAAATTTTTTAACAAGCATTTCTAGAATTTTACGATATCGTTATTTTTTTCCACTAACAAATGATATAATTGATTAAAGATATGTATCGGCACTCATGGTATTTGCAAAAACGACATTTACTAAAAGATAAATACTATCTTTTTTTTTCTTTCTTCGGCTGCTTAGGACACAGATGCAGGCCAGCCCCCTTAACTATCGAACGCAATCGCGACCCATCGACATTGTAGTAAATTAAAGTATAAGAAACACGTGTATTTCTTCGTTAACATATCTAATTTGTTATCCGAATGATAGGAAAGAAACAATCCAAGATAAACATTAGGCTAGCAGTTCATAACCTTTTAATGATTTTTATGATGTATAACTATTTGGGGAGGAACTTTCAAAACAAAATTTATTGATCTGGAACGTGCACAAAGAACAATTCTGAAAGTAATGCATAAAAAAAAGACTATATAGTACAACTCAGCTATACAAGGATTTAAACGTTTTAACAGTTCGCCAATTATATATCTTACAAACTATTCTGGTGACACATAAAAAAACGCCAAAAGATCCAACAAAAAGTGCTAAACGTAATCCCTTCACTGTCATTAATCAAAGAAAGACCAGAACAACATTCGCATCGAGACAATTCTATATACAATCAGTAAGGCTTTATAATAAAATAAACAGACAAATAAAAATATATACCATGACTTACCGAGAATGTAAACGAAAATTAACATCATGGCTAAAATCACTCACATATGAAGATACAGAGAATATATTAGAAAACATGAATTGATTATTAATCACATACACACACACACACACACACACACACACACACACACACACACACACACACACACACACACACACACACACACCCATATGCACACAAACACACACACACACACACACACATACAAACACACACAATATTGGTATTGATTGACAACACTGCACACACTAAGCTTGTATTAATTTTAATTTTTATTCGTTACTAAGTAGAATGTATAAGAGCGGGTCTCCCCTGATACAAGTATTTATACTTTAAAGGGTAGACTCAATCACTGTAAAAATTTAAAAAACAACGAATAAACTACTTATTATTATTCCTATATTTATAATTTACTCTTCCCTACCCCTCGACGATTCGAGGGGTGGGAGGATTCCCCCTGGCAGAGGAGGCCAGACGGCCGGGGGTCAGGGCGACAAAGAGAGAAAACGGCGGACGATCCTTGCGTTATCGAGCAAGATCGCCCGCTGGAGCCTTGCAATCATTGGTTATTATTATTATTATTATTATGTAAGCCCTACTAATTATTCGTAATTAATGTCCCCACAGGATTATATATATATGTGTATATATACATAATATATATATATGTATATACAAGAAGCATTTAAAACCACTCTCCAAATTTTAGTATGTTAATCTTTACGACAAATAATGAAATACGTGTTTTTTCTTTTTATGTCGTTTAGAACAAAAATGTTGAGTTATATCGTCACCAAGTTATTTTCAAAAAACATACATTTGTGGACGCTCCCGCTGCCCAGTACGTGCGCTTTACGCGCTACGTTAGTTCCCCCCCCCCCCTCCCTTCCCGCAATTCATTGATAGTAATACAAGTACGTTTGCGAGTTAGTAGCAGCTACCTAAAATGTTTTCGTTTTTTTATGCTAGGGCAAATGGTACATAAAGTTGAAACCTTTCCTTCATACTTTTACGGGCTTAGGACCGTCAAATTGCAAAAATTCTATTAGATACCTACTATTACAATAACTATACTGCTTTAAATTTATAAATAAGTAGGTAAGCAAATATCAAGTTACCTAAAATTCTGTTTAGTTAAACCAATAATAAAAAAAGTAGGTACTTAACTAGATATTCTTTGCAATCAGGCGTATTTAAAAAATCATCAACTTTATGTACATAATCAACTAATCACTTTATCCTACCTAATTTAACTATTTACCTACGTATACTTTAATAATTGTTCAAAGTGCATACCGTTCCTCTCCACACAGAGTCTTGCACGTTTTTGCACATTGTCTTTTAATTTGGCGAGCACTACAGTGTCATTTTTCACGTGGTCAAATGCCGCACTAATTTGCACTTTTAAGTCCTCGAGGCTTTGTGCTTCTTCAAAATACACACGTCTTTTGATTTCACCCCACAAATAAAAGTCGCACGGTGTTAGGTCCGGCGATCGAGCAGGCCACACGATGGGGCCTCCGCGTCCAATCCATCGATCACCATATTCTATGGTGAGATGATCTCGGACGGCGGCGGCGTAATGGGGTGGTGCACCGTCCAGTTGAAAATAAAAATCCCGGAAGTAGGCCACGGGCAAGTCCTCCATGAAATCGGCAATGACATGCCGCAACATATCGAGGAAGTTGCCGCCGGTGAGCGGCCCTTCGATGAAGTACGGCCCCAGTATTTTCGTGCCTATAACACCGGCCCACACATTGACACTAAAGCGCACTTGATGGTGGGTTTCCCGAATCATATGCGGATTTCTGAAGGACCACCAGTGTTCGTTATGATGGTTATAAAGCCCCACACGAGTAAACAATGCTTCGTCAGTCCACAAAATGTTGGCATTAGGGTGTGCAATCAGCCATTCACAAAAGGTGCGACGGGGCACATTATCTCCATCGTGTAGAGCTTGGACCTTTTGGAAGTGGTAAGGGTGTAGCCCTGTCACATTCAGCAGCTTCCACACGGCATAGTGGCTTACGTTAAATCGGCGTGCGGCATCTCGTGTACTGGCTCGCGGGTCCCTTTCGAAGAAATCCAAGATTTCATCTTCGATTTCAACTGCAAGTCTTGATCTTCCACCTCCGCGAGCGTGAGCAGGCGTAGTAAATTGACCATAGTCCAATAGCCTTTGGTTCACAGCCAAAAATGTCTCGCGACTAGGTACTGCGGGGTTTATTAATCCCTGATTTTGCAGGGCTGGGATGGATTCTGTTTCGTATAGTCTCCGAGCTGCATTTAAACTTTCACCGCTTAAAATGTAACACCGCACCATTTCGTAATATTCGCGATTGGAATACATTCCGACGCGCGAAGTGTGGGGCTGCGGCGGGTGGCGCGCAACACGGAAGCAAAGGCGGAAGCGCGTGCGTTCAAAGGGATTATGCGCGGGTGACTGATGTTGCCGACTAAATAAAAAACCGAGCAGATATCGTCGGCGGTGCATGCGCGGCGCATGCGCGGCGCATCCCCTGCGCCCGCGCCCCTTGCTACCCCTGCTCGTTTCGTTCATAACTAATGTGACAATGCGAATGTTATAATTATCTTGTAATTACAAAAAGTTTACACTTCATTTTGAAAATTTTACATACTGTTTTTTTTTCATATATGTGATCTATTAACAATACCTAATGCCTAGAAAAAATTTGGAGAGTCATTTTAAATGCAGGCGGTATATGTATATATATCCTGTGGGGACATTAATTACGAATAATTAGTAGGGCTTACATCATAATAATAATAATAAGCAGTTTATTCGTTGTTTTTTAAATTTTTAGTGTAAAAATTTTAAATTTTATTTAATATGTGTATGATTGTTAATTATATTCAGAATTCTCTATCACTGTCACTGCCTTACAAATTTTCTGCTTATCTTCTCCGGTTGACTGATCGAGAATGCCTATGGCATTAAGTCCGCCGTTTGCAGTAATACGGCAATAAAGATTAAATAAATAAAAAAATTATACTGAAACCACTGATATAGACGAAACATGGATTCCATCTCAGATATGAACTTCTAAGAGTATTGTCGATTTTCAGGAGCTTGTATCAGATAACCCCTTACGGGCAAGTCGTGTTTTGACGAAACAATAAAATACTGACTTGATATACACATTTATTGTATTGTACATCTTCAATTTCTATAACTAATTAAAAGTAACATAACAATATATTTACATACATGGTATATTTGTTTTACATTGAGAATAAATGGGGTGCCTTTTTTACCCGTTGAGAACGGAACCCTATGACTTAAGTTAACAAAGCTGTAGCAAGCGCAACAGAGCGACCTCCTAGCTGACATTTTTCAATTAATTTACTTTTTTATCGTTCGATTGTAACCAGATGGCTGTGACATATTTCTATAGACTTACTTCTAATAAATGTTACATTTCATTGTTTTTGCTACTTGTTGTAGCGTTATATATCGACGGTGTAAAGCAAACACGTAGTAACCTGCAAAACCAAAATGAACATCGTTTGGACCCAAATTAAAGTGGAAAATCTTTACATTTTTCAAAAAAAAAAAAACACGTATCTTATTTCCATATAAATTGACTAAGAACACCTTATTTATTACCATGGACGTTTATAAGAATTATTTACCGAAAAAAATAAAAGTTTTTCTGCTCTAAATAACAATTTTGATTTTACAGATTACTATGTGTTTGCTTTTCAGCGTTGATACATAAAATTGAGAAAATTGAGGGGGGTGTGGCCGCTTAACTCTCTAGCCATGAAACGATATCTTATCAATGTTATGGCAATATTTCGTTTCATCTTACTTCTTTGACATGATGTCGGAAAAATTTGGGATAAACATACTAATTTGGTAACTCCGCTGTCAAATTTACAATTGTCATCCTTATCATTTATTCGTTCTTAACAAATTACTTGTTAGAGTCAAACATCGCTAAGATATCGTCTATCCCTGGTCCCCTCATAATTCTTAATTTTATGAGTAGCAAAAATATTTAAATGTACCTTTTATCAGAAATGAGTCTATAGAAATATGTCGCCGCCTACAGCAGTTGCTTAGTTTGCTAACTTTAAGAATGTAAACGGCGAGCCGACCAATGAGAAGGCTACTTAATCTGAGACTGCGACATAGGGATAAATCGTTTCCCATTACAATTTCAGAATACTAACAATAATTAATATTAACAAAACAATGATTGCGTCACCATATATTATGTCAATATAAATTTATACAAATAACAATAAATATGCTACTTTAATTATTATTCTATCCTTAACATAATTGCTTTGTATAATGTCTATGTCTTTGACAAAATGTCTGTATATGGACAGGTTCGATTTAAATACATGCGCAATAAAACTTTCGGTTACTACTAACCGATTTATATTATTTCTATAAGAGGTGTATCCTCTTTTTGTGGCAGTGTTCTTGCGGACGAGTGATATCGAGGATGATAAAAATGAACGTCACACGTTAAGACGAAAAAAGGTGATTAACAAAGTCTGAAGTGTGACGTCACATTTCAAAATCTAATATTCAAATCAAGATTTTAGAAGTTGAATTTGAATAAAAGTAAAATTTATTCCGGAAATGCTGTTTTAATTTAATACTTATATCTTAGTGTAAAATTGTACAATATATAATGGTACACAATCCAAAACGTGACTTAGAGTGCGACTGACTAACCGCCTTTCACGAAACTCTAGCAAAAGCTAAAAAAGTTTTACTGGTTTTATCTTTGATGTTCTTGTTTCATTATTTATATATTTAATCAACGGTTTGGTTGTTATAGTTTTCGGAATTTGAAGTTTGACTAAATTACAATATGCTCAAAGAAATCAAAGTTAGGCGGACAAAGCTACTTTAAAAATTAAAATAAACCTATTTGATTGAATATATAAATTAATGATTACTTATATTTATGTTTTTTTGCGAATGTGGTCTGAAAACTCCATGAAATAAAAAACATATTGTTTAAAAAAATCAACATCATTCATCAACACCAACATTCATTGAAAAAATAAATAAATCCTTTTTATAGCTAGGACTAGAGTTAAAGCGAGTGAGCTGACTACTTGACTGTTTTAGGACAAATATTTTATAAACTGTCATATGATTATATTAAACCATTATCAATTTATTTTTCTCCAAAAGTGCTATTAAATAAAGGAAAAATTAGAGTATTTAAATTCAATATTTAATACAATCAATAATTTTGAGCTGTGACGTCACATTTCAATAAACATGAGTACAAATCGCCCTCACAAAAAAGAAGGAAGTTGCCGTTCAGATTATTAAAATGTGACGTCACACAATGCTACATCATGGCCGTCCGCGCTTCGGTTCTTGTAATTCCTATTATAAACAGCGAGAGTTTTACGTACTTTTATTTTATTACAAAAATAAATTATACTTACAATTTATTTCAAAACAAAAAAAACAAAATCTCTATTAGTCACATATTTTACCTTACCATTTCGAATATACGTAATTATTATCAACAGCAAGAACATGGAATGTAGTATTAATATAATTAAAGAATAAATTAGCGACTGAAAAATACATAAGTATTTGAGAATACTTACAAAACCACAAGATTCAGACAGCAATAGCGAAGTGAATAAGACAATATGTGACAAAATTTATATTCGACTTAAAAAATTTATAAACACTCAACTATATAATAAACTATGATAGCTTTTTGTTATAACTGTCAAGTAGCTAGTAGGCCGGTCGCACCCCTGCTACTGTATTACTTCGCACCATTAGAAAATGGATACATCAATGTATAATCCTCGCAAATTGCTAATGGGCCTGGCTGCCATTTTGATGACGTAATAGCGTTACAAATCGGTACCGTTAACAAATAAACACAGATCGACCAGTACACATACTGAGTTGGGTTGTGTTGAGATCACACATAATTTTTGTAGTGATTTGTTTTTTTTTTTCAATTTTTATTTTTAAATTTTGTTGTCACTCGTTATGGTTGACTAAAATGGCAACTGCTATTGTGGTTTTCGCAATAAGTAAACATAATTTCACTAAAAATAAATCTATCTAATTTCTCTCAATTAATTATTACTTTCGGTTATGTTTAAAAAATATATCCTTTCCGTTAGTTATCGCATTAATACAAAGTAAATGTTTTTTTTTTCACATTTTTTTATTTTCCATATATCTCAATATTTACATATAAATTGATTATTTTCAAAACATTCATGCTAATAATTAACAGTTATTAAATTATTATAACGATATTTTGTGTATTATAAATATTTCAATAATCAATAAATACTTTATCTCTTGCTTTTTGTGCTATTCATATTTTCATATGACGACATATAACGCGGGTGTTATCTAGACAAGGCTTCAGGACATTAACAATTTACGGGACTTAAACCGTTACTGCGCTGTGGCGGGCGTAACGGGCGTGGAGGGGGTGGAGGGGGCGCAGGCGGCGCAGAGGGGCGCGGCGCGGGGGGACGCGAGCGCGGGGAGGGGGGCGCGGCGGCACACGCAGCGGGTGCACACGCACCTGCCGCAACCCCAGCAGTGGTGCTGCACGATACGTACATTCATACTCACCACATCGTAATAATATAATCAGAAGCCCAACAGAGGATAATGACTAATTACCAGTGGTCGGAATTAGGTAGAGTTATTCATGTACTTACACTGATTTCATACAGCGAAAGAAGAAAGTGGATATGCCTCAAATCCCGAGATTAATTTTAAAGAGCAGAAAAAATCCAGTGATTTTGTAAATAATAAGTTATTTACTTTTACACAATTTAAACTACTGCACGCACGACGTTGCCAAACTTACGTCAATGACATCGGATGTCCAAAGATGTCCAAGATTGTCCATTAAAAATCCCGGGAAGGTCCACATTAATATCAACATTTCGATGCAAGTACATAAATAACTCTACCTAATTCCGACCTCTGCTAATTTTGTTTGTCCGTCAGGTAGATTATTGTAGAATATTTAAACACGTTATTATTTTTTGCGTACTCAATAAATTACGGCGATACATCGAGTTAATACGTATCTAATATTTGAAAAAAATAAAATACGTATCTAATATTTTTCAACTATTTGGCTGACGGACTAAATAGAATTTATTTCTTTTCAACTAATTTTAATATCGACCGCGATCCTTTTCAGTTTGGTATATATAAAAGATATTCACGAACTTCACGCTGCAACTGTTTGACATGTGATAACGATTGCGAGCGTGACTTTTTAAAGATTATGAATTAACGATATCGCTAATTTAAATTTAAGTAAAGTTACCAAGTTTTTTTTATTGTCTTTTGATTATACAAATCATTATTCGTTCCAAAAGCGAAAGCTTTAAAAGTTACACAAGACAATTCTTAGTCTGAATTAACATATAGGCTATTTTTATCCAGTTAAAGATGCCCTAAAGGCATATATAGATATATATATGCCCTTGCTGAGATTTTTCCACAAAAATAAAAACTGCCTAAAAGTGTAAATATATACTTTCTTATACGTGTTAGCGACGGAATTTGGTTAAAATTAACACCAATCACATACCTTCCGGCTGAAATGTTCGAGAGGCGTAGAACAGCTACATTCTGTTACATTCTTTATACTGCTCCAATCTAAAGCGACTGAATTCATCTCGGCTTCCATCTGGACCATACTGTTGGGTATGGAGTCATCGCTTTTCTGAGAATAAAACATTCACTTAATCCCTTTCAAGAGGCCATAAACTCGAAATATACAATATAGTTTTGCAAAAAGAATATTGAGGCTTCGTCTTTGAAGCGCGCCAAATCCAATCGGAACTATTTAAGTATCACACCATTGGGGGATTAAATTTATTATTAATATCAGATCTTGTTTTATTTTCTTTATAAAAATATATGAATGAGTTCTAAATGATAACTTTTATGCCGGCTGTACTTTGTGCAAACATTATTCTAGTCAGGTGCCATGTAGATTCGTCTTACTTGTATGTCAGTACTCCGCACAACCTATATTATTCGACTTTAGCAGTTTAGACTTTAGAATTACATCAATCATGATAAGAACTCATAGTCGGGGCCCCTTGGGAAGATTTGGTTGGTAAATTTGAATCGGTCCCGACCCTCCAAAGATTTACCTCAGTGATGAGCGGTATCTTGTTCGGCTTTATTGGTAATCGCGCATCTTTAAGTGGATGATCGTGGTTAGCGCACTCTAATTCCGATAGAGTGCCCCCAGATTCATAAAGTAATCTGTAGAAATAATACTATGTTATATATATACAACTCCATAGCGCAAAGAAAAGTGCTTCAAAGATTAGACTTTGTCCAAATCAAGCAATTTTCTAATCTATGTCTAAGGCAAGCGTTAGACCGAAATATATTTGAGAGCTTATGAGAAATGTCAAACGAAAGAGTTGTATGCTAACTGCAATCTTTCGAATGGTTTAACTAAGTATTCGTAATGTTTTTTCAAATCTTTTTCTACTTTAAATTGCTACTTTAAAAGCTACATTTCTAAATAAATCACAATAGTTTTGAAAGGTATAGCGATAATTTTGAAATAAGATAATTAGCCCACCCGGTCATTAGATAGATAATAAAATAGTTATATATATCCAATTATACAGAGATGTACAAAATACCCTGTACAAAGTATCTGGAATACAAGATACAAAATACTTTTAAATTAAGTATTTCAGATACCAGATACGAAATACTTTCGAGAAAAGTATTTGAAATACTAGATACAAAATAGGTATCTTATAAATACTTTTGATAAATACAAATACTTTTCTAAAAAAAGATTTGAATTTAAGTTTGTTTATTAAAGACCACAAGAACCTAAATCTTGGACCAGATGGGACCAGAAACAAAGTGGATTTTTTAAGCATTTTTCATTAGAAACAATTTTTACAAGCTTTTATTTAGTTTCACCTGTACCGGTGTTTGTACTCAAATCTTACAAGCTAAATTTCACCCACTTTTCCTCCGTTTGGAGATAACAAATTAAAAAAGCCTGAAATGTTTTTTTTTGTTTGTCAATCACAATGTAACATATAAAAATGCAAATATTTAATACATCAGGTTTAAATTATTTTAATATTTTTTAGTTCCTTTTTAATAATAAGTTTTTTCAATATAGCATTGTGAATGAAAAATTGCTCAAATATAACAACAAGAATAATTATTTAAATTTAATTATAAAATTATTATTTATTTAAAAAGCTGGTTTTACGTACGACGACGTATTACGACGTAGACCAGATGAGAAAATTACGGAGAACTGAAAATTCATTTTTTCACCACCAAATGACACCAAACAATGTTTGGATTCAAGTTATTTTCAACTAAATATTCATTGCGTTGATAATTGGACACTTTCTTTTTGTAGATATGTATGTTTTAGGCAAAGATATTTATAAAATGTAAGAAACAATCTTTTAATAAAGTATTTTATCAGAAAAAGTATTTAAGATACTAAACTAAATATTTAAATAGAAGATACAAAATTCTTCCTAAAAAAAGTATTTTAGATACAAGATGAAAATACGTATTTTGTATCTTGTATCTGTATTTCAAATACTTGTATCTAAGATAAGTCACATCTCTGCAATTATATATTTTCTATTATATATCTAATTTCTAGGAGTTTGATGGCAGTAGTTGGCCATTCCGGTCTGCGATACGGAAACTAAGCAACTTTCGAGAAGGCCGCCACAGGATAGGTGGCCAATAATTTATAAACTCAAACTCTTGCTTCAGAAAGCAAGTTAAGTTAAGTCCCGGCTCATTTGCAACTGTTAAAAAAAAACAAAAATGTTTATTCTTCAGCTTAGTTCACAATTTACAATATATCATGAAGTCCCCTTTTAAGTATTTATCATACCTGTTTCAGGAGACCTCGCTCTTCCTTTTTACATTACATAGGTAGCTAAACTTTACAATATTCTTTTTTTTTTTATTAGCAATATCCTACCTTTTTTAGAGTTTAAGAAAAAATTAAATGAATTCAGAGACATAATATGAATTTGGTTAACATCCACTGTTCCATATTGAGCCCGGATGATGGTTATGTAAATTCTTTTACGATTTGAATATTATCACAAATTGACATTAAGGTTCAATGACGTCTTTAAACTCTAATAATCATCACCAGCCTTTTTAAGTCGCTACTGCGCTAAATTTTAAATATTTCTATCGGTAATGTTTCTTTAAACTAATGACAATTATAATGCACGTTTGTGCAACTGGATGTATAAAAAGACATTTTATTTATTTTACACTTAATACTTATAAAATCTGTAATGTGTAAGCTTTATCATACTGACTTGTTGTCGATCTGCAGTGATTCTATATTGGTCTCGATACCGACAGCGTCTTTGTTCCCACTTTGATAATTGACCACAGTTGTGTCCTTGTTCTTAGAGGCCCTTCTGCCAGACAATAAGTTCTTGAACGTAGCTATCCTCTGTTGAAACATGTTTATTGTTTACATATAAGTTACAATTTCCTACATATTTCATTATTTATTGTTATAACAATCAAGTAGTCAAAACCCTACACTTTTTGCTTTTGTCTGGCGACTAGAAACCCGTACCCAAGTCCTAGTGAATAGTGAATTACAAACCAATTAACAATATACAACTGTCTATCTTCTTTGTGGTTATATAATATTAAAAAGAGAAAAGATTTGTTTGTTTGCTTGCAACGAATAGGTGCCGTAACTAATGAACCGATTTTAAAAATTCTTTCACCTACGGGAAGCTACATCGTATGGATTGAACATAGACTATACAGTATCCCGAAATCTTACTACAGTAACTATTGTTTACTAATCAATTTGTCATTGTAATTATATCCGTGTCATGATATCAATCGATATTCAAATAAACAATTCCCAAAGACGATGACTAAAGGGAGGGGGGGCGGTCTCCGGTCCCTCAGACCCCAAATGGCAGCAGCAATCCGCCAAAATCATAATAATATAATAAAGTTAAAAATGTATGCCAGTGTAAACGAATTATATTTGTCCCGGTTGGAAAAAGTTGTCGATCCGGGCCTGTAGCCAGCCGTACGTATGCCAGTGTAAACGCATTAAAAAGTTTTTTGTCCCGGTTGGAAAAAGTTTTGAACCGGGCCTGTTGCCGCCCGATGAGGTTAGTCCACCACTGCCCAAAGACCACGCGGACGAAGCCGCCGGCGGAAAGCTAATATATGAATGGATGTGTTAACGTATATGATAATGGTATACCTTGGTGAGATAGTTGATGTGATGGTCCAATGCCGTGGCGTGTTCCACGGCGGCTGGCAGTAAATCCGCTAGAGGTTCACGTGGATGTACGCCGTGCTCGTGACGACAGTACATGCCGCGCCAGAACCTGGCAACGGACGAATCCGTATTATTATACGAATACTAGAGTATACTATACTGAAGGAGAATGGGCTTTACTGCATTTTGAATGGTAATTTCTCTGATGTTGATATATTTATGTTAAGTTTAAAAAACAAATAATTGAAAACTCTTTCTAGCATTAGTTTGTTTTAATATTTATTACGTATGATGTCTTTTATTATTAATAATGTAATGACCATTGGTCGGAATTAGGTAGTTATTCATGTACTTACACTAATTTCATACAGCGAAAGAATAAAGTGGATATGCCTCAAATCCCTAAATAACTAACTCTACCTAATTCCGACCTCTGGTAATGACATACGCTGGGAATAATAATGGTGGTTGTACAATTGTTAATTATCGTAAAAAAACAAAATAAAAATAAAACCTAAAGTTACTACTAAATTAAAACCATTAACCGCCTAAAGCAAATTAACAATGACAGAAGACAAAAAATCAGACTGAGATATGGTGACTTATTTTGGACGGATAATAGTTTTAACTCGTGTCTTGATTGTCTAATTTTAAAATCTAGTGCATTTCATGCGTATAGCGGTTGTAATAGTGATAGTGACTTGATATAAATGTCATAGACAATTTACTTCGTTTTACATTTCTCGTTAGCTTTCAAAGATATTTGTAACTATAACTTTGCTCTGACAATTCTGATTAACGTCAAATAACCGTTATCGTTCATAAAAACGTCGCGATCGCAGATGTTAAATAAGTTGTAGCGTGAAAGTCATGAATATCTTTCAAATGTCAAATTCAAAGTGATTGTCATACGGTCAGTTGCACAAACGTCCATTAAGGTTTAATGACGCCTTTAAGCTCTAATGAATGTCAAATTTGTATGGATAATGTCGCTTTAAAGTAATTAATATTTTAATGGACGTTTGTGCAACTGACCGATAGATATTAAAATTAGACGATTAGACCACTGGCACTTAATATTAATAAGTTTATCAAACTTAATACAGGACGGCGTAGTCACGTTATTATTACAAAAAAACGGAGCACTTCACAGAAACGATACATATTTCTATGGCTAGCGATAACTATACGATTTAAACGCTCCTATAATTTTCCGTTACTCCATTTGCACTAGGAACATACATTAGTAATAGCAATCAAATAAAATCTCCAAAAATTCTATGAAACTATTGATATTTAGCTCACCTGATACTTTGCGCATTCAAGTCCGGTTTCAATACATCCGGATGCGCCTTTGGATTGTAGAGAGGGTTTTTGTATTCATTCAAATGGTTCGCCATGTAGCCCCATAACGAGAAGGTCCTTTCAGACAATCTGAAAGTTTTGAGACGTTATACTCGCTTACATACTCTTAAATTATTTATCTATATGTTTGTCCTGTTAATCTACCAATTAGTGTTGACCCGCGAAAATTATAGCCTGTGTCAACCCCATATGATTTAGCTACCAATAGGTGTTTTTTTTTTTTAAATCGGTTTATTTGTTTTAGAGCATATTCCTCCTCTTATTATTTCCTCTTTATAATATATGTATAGATAAACCTATACAGATCTCCTGTTGACTGCTAAAAAATATCTACAGGCGTGTAGTCCACATATTTGTACAGTTTTATATAAATCCATTTAATATAAAAAAAATATTCACATACATTGCTCAGATCAATTTAAGTAGCTAAAGCACTTGTCATATGATAATCTGTAACAACTAAGGTAACACCCAGACTCGTGATAACATAGTATATATAAAGGAGATGTCCAGTTTCTAGATCGATCCTGGAATCCAACAGCTGGCGAAACATGGTCGATTACTAAATAAATATCTTAGATACCTGAGATCCCTTCGATCTTTCTGGCAGTTCCCGACGAATGTACCGTACTGACAGGCGTGAGCGTGCTCATGTAGAGTCAACAAAAACCGCTCGTTGAACTGGAACGCCTGGTTACAATAAGTATTCATTGTAAAAAAAGATTAAACTAAATGGTTAAGATAAAACACCATACATTTAATTGCAATTTTAATGTCGATAAATTTTGTCAGTGTGTGCGTGCGACATTTAAGTAGTGATCTCCTTATAAAGTTTAAATGAAGGGTGATATATATTAATCATGTGAATCACTGAATCATCTGTTTCAGTGTTTTTCAAACTTTTGCAATATAAGGGTCCTTTATAGGCCGAAAACTTCTGGCGACCCCTTGGTCTATAGATACACAAAAAAGTAACATTGATTTAATAAGGTTACTACTATTAATTCATTTATTAGCATTTTGAAATAACACCATTATCCTTATTTCCATTACTTGTTGGAACTTTTCAGTTATAATTTTTTTTTTCGAAATTTGAATGCGTTTCGAGTGAATAATAGATCTTCAAAGTGTTATGTGATATTTATTTAAAAGTTTAAAAATATTTGTTTACGACACGTGACCTAGGAATTGTTTCTCCTGTTCACGGCTTTTGATTTCTTGCGTCAAATATTTATTTTCAGTTTTTACTATCTATATAAATTTCTTTTATTCGTAAATTTACAAATAATATCTCAAATGAGAGGGGTCGCTTTTCCGACTTATTTGGATGAAGGATCTTTATTTTTTATTTCTTCCAAGTTATATATTTTGTGGTATTTGCGGGAGCTGGTGTATCCTTAACTAAAAAGAGTCCAGCTCAATCACTTTTAAAAACGCCACCCATCGAGTCTAATACATTTTTTTAATGTAGACAATAACAATAAAGGCCATTTTCCAATTGTGATCGCTTTGCGCTCGAAAAATACACGTACGAATTACACTGTCTATATGTCTTATTATAGCTAATTAAAAACTGGTATGGGTGGTACTATAGATTTCACATGTTTTTAGTCCTTTAGATTTACATTTTTATTCAAAGTTTGATATTTGGACTTTTTTTTACCTAAAATGGCTGCCGTTTTGTATTTGGGTGGTTATATACCCCAAATTTTTGGGGCGGCAAAATTTTTTATGCCTATTTAGGGCTTTATTTTTGTAGTTTTCCGAATATTTATGAATTTTAAATATGTTTTGCTAAAATGTTTTACCTATATTTGATTGCACCTAAAGTACTGTCTGAAAAAAATCTGAAACTTTATGGAGGTCGAAAACACTTCTCTTACTTGCAATTTAGATGCTGGTCATACTATTAAAGAAAATGTTTTGTTGTAGTAAACCATATGGAGTTTTGGCTATATTCTTTAGCCGGCGATCCCCTGAATAATACTCTATGACACCCTAAGGGGTCACAACACTCAGTTTGACAAACACTGGTTTCCAAGCCAAAAAGAATCCCGTCTGCTGACAGACCATTTGTCAATCTGAAAAATTATCTAGGTCAGGGCTTCATTATGACAGATCAATCAGGGATTCAGCTACATAGAGACGCAGCCGAAAAGCAGCGTAGAGCCGCAGGTCATACATGGTGGAGATTTAGGCGTGCTATCCGTCCACATCCAAGAGTACTCTTTTATTTTTGGTACAAAGAAGATTTCTTATTTAAGTATGTTAAACTAAGCACGGACGCTATATTAAAGATCAAATTCAGTCTCTCCATACATGCTCACCATTTCACTTGATTAGTTCAACCGGTTGAGGGTAGTGAGACTTTTATTCCCATTAACTATACTCAAGGAAAAAATTCATCCTTTAAACATCACGTGATTAATCGACAATCCCTAATCAGTGGTTCACCGATAGATTTATTTTAGTACAAATCAAAGTGACTTGCTAGTGCTTAAAGAATTAGTAAACAAAATACACTTCTCAGATTACCGCCTTCTTATGAATAATTGACGAGAAAACTCAATTGTAATGATTTGCTCACCTCTGGTCTCTGCCGCAACAGCTGCCACGTGCAGTCCAGCAGTTGTGTGAACACGGGCGACCTCTCGCGGCCATCACACGCGATATGCCCACATCGAGCCGTGAACTTGTGACCGAATGATAACCAGTCTTTTTCTATCAGCGCCTGAAGATAATAATTTTGATATTTCATAAAACTATAATTCTATTACTGAACGACCACGCTTCTTATTCTCCGAGTGTGTTATACAATTAACAGTTTATATAGTAATCATCTAAAATATATCTCAGAAGATTCAACAATTTCAAATTTATCACACCCATATAATGGCGTTTCGATTCTAACCACCGGGAAGGCCTATATCTACATTGAGGTAATAGTCTAGTGATCATCCAAATACAATTGCTTAACAAAAATACATCTCTGGTAAAGTACAAAGGTATATCTCTCCCAAGTAGCACATAAATAATATATTAACTAAAATAAGTACCGATTTATGTCCTAAAGTCATACTAACATTTTTAATCAGCACTGGTCAAGTTTCGAATCTGTTTAAAGGCATTTATTTTATCTAATAATGCTTAATGCTATATTATGGTTAATAAAAAAAGTATACCAATGTCAAAACTCCTATTTAAGTATTGGGTAATATTAATATATAGCTGTTATCGTATTTCGGTGATATGAAAAACATTATATATTATATAAACATTAATGTAATATTATTTAGTGCACTTAGTTGTATTAAGTCATTTTCTAGAAACAAAGGTTTTCTAATGGGCTATGGTTGTATCGATTTAATGCTTATCCTATATACACATTGAATAAAGAACTAGCAAAACTTTAGCACCGATTTGTTCTTAAAGTATTCTTTAATCAAGCTCAAGCTCCTTTATCTTCTTAATCTATGCTTTTATAAAACTTTAGGCTATAATATGATTAATATTAAGTTATTTATAGAGATACAAGTAATAAATAGATCGTAATTATTTTTTATGTGAAATTAAAATGTAAAATTATTTTATGTATTGTATTGTAATGGTGGCATTTTATATGCATCGCTGGTGCCATGGACAAAAAACGTTGGGAAAAACAAAGAGTATTCTAATTTAATTGAAGCTTTTAAAAATCAAAATAAAAATGAAAAAATCGTTTGATGATTATTAGCACTATAAGATACTTCTGAAGTGTAAAAATACGGCTGTACCTAAAATGGGAGTGTGTTATACGATGAATTACGAGCTCTTAGTTTTGTGTCTAACCATAATACGATTAACAGCTCTACTACACCATATTTGAATACCTAATGCTTTAATTTTACGAGTCGCCATTTGCTTTCTTTTTCCATTTCTTACAAAATATTTAAAGTCAACTGTGTCAGATGAAAAAGGGTAAATAATCATTTATTTTGTGCACAAATGCCTATAAAAGCAATTATGTTGTTAAAACAATGCTAAAAGCCTAAAATTCAACAAAAATTTTTGCTACTAGGTTAAATTTTTAATTATTTTTATTATATTAAAGGAAGTTTGCGAAGGCGCGTGTATTTTACACCATAAACTTGTATATTTACTCCACAAACTGATGTTTGCAGCTTATTTACACACATAACGAGCTGTTTAAATCAATATCCAAAAATACTTAAAAGACCAGCCAAGAGAACATGTCGTGACACTTACACAATACAATAATTTAAACCGATTATATGTTTTTAAAATCTATTAAATATACTTTTTTACAAACGAAATAAAACAGTAAGCATTTTTATAACATTAAATTAACGTATTATAATTTTGATTTCCCATATCAATTAATATAAAGCACCTTAAGTGCTAATTGAACTTTTTGTGGATATTAGAATGCTTTTACCCGACTTTATTAATGATATTATACAAAAGTTGTAGTGCTATTGCACAGCTTTTATAAAGCTTAAAGTCGTACAAAGGGGGGGGGGGGGGCAAATTTTAAGTATAAGAGTCGTTTAAAAGAAATACGGTTAATATACGATTTTATTATAATGCTTAACGCTTGGACTCGTGCTATTATAAGTTTGATTACTACGATTAATTTTTTATTACGTCGTAGATCAAACGTTGTTCCTTACTATGTCAGTCATCTATATAACTCCTGCGAGTTGCTGTTGTTTTATAAAATAACCCTGTATAAACTTAAGACTGCATTCGAAGCTTTTACGGAAGTTTTGTCGCGCTTTATTTAATATATAAGGTGGTTTAACAATTTTTGAGCAACACAGAATTTACGAAAATATAATCAGCTGTTTCACACTGTTGGCGATTGTAGGCACTACAATTTTGTATGAAACAACTAATGATTTTTTCGCGAATTCAGTGTTACTATACTAACAAGTGTTATTCGGTATATTGAACTCATCCTCAACACGAAGTCTTGGCACATAATTTTGCACATAATTTTGCACCTTATATATGTAATTTCAAGAGTTGCTCGAGCCTAGATAGGCGAGAAAACGTTAATAGTTCAGTACGTTTAAATTTTTTTTTAATTGCTTCTGACCCGCCCGCGCATTCTAAATCTATTGGCCCTTTGTAATTTTGAGTTTGACACCCCAGTTGTATTGTGAATATCACCTGGTATCCGTTGATGGTGCGATAGTGTGGCTCTAGGCAGAGGGCGGCGAGCGAGCACACTTGCGCGGTGCGATCCCATCCGTCGCTACAGTGCACGCACACACTCACACCGCCCGCCACCGCGCACGCTATCCACCATGACGTGTCCAATATAGACCTATTAATTAAGGCGCGGATGTAAGTTTTGAGTTAGTTTCTAATCAAGCATCGCGCCTTATTTAGCGATTTGTATACAGATAGCAGGAGAGGAAAGTAATCAAATATAGAACACTGGCTTTCCGCCAGCGGCTTCGTCCAAATGGTCCCTAAGGAACTGTTTATTTGGTTTACAAGCTTTACATAGGTGAAACAATTTTTCAAAGTCAGTACAGTAGTTTCGGAGCCAATTCGGTGCAAACAAACAATCAATTCTTCCTCTTTACATTAGTATATGGGACACTGATTCTAATTTATTAAACAAAAATTATTAACTCGAGTTTCTCCATGATTCTGAAGGCACTTTAAGCCGTGTTTGTCACAGATGAATCTGCAGTCCAGTCAGGACTTTTAGAACTTAAAACTATTAAATTAACATAAACTATACTTAATGTAAAAAGTATCTTAGGTTTGTCAAACACCAATAACTTTATTAGTTAAGATAATTCAATTTACACCAATAAGAATAAATAAACATTTCCAAATTTTATTTAGTTACAAATATGTTACTCACTTGATGTGCTTCAACCACCCGGAAGATTCCAAACCGCTTAAGAAGGAGGACATACTAGGAGTGTTTTGTTCGCAAGCTGAAAGCAAAATAACTTCCTTAAAAATATAACATCATACCTTAGATATAAATTAAAGAAAATGATAAACGAATACAAGAGTCAATTATTGTGACGGCACAATTTAATATAATACCTAACTTTTCCAAGTGAAATTTCTAATTTAATTATTTCAGTTATCATGTTTTTATTTGGTCAAGAGTTCTTTTATAGGAACCCAATGTTATTAAGGTATAAATAAAAAATAAAAAAACTATGTCTTAGTGCATATCTGACGGATGATGCGTCGCGTAATTGTTGGTAGCGGAACGTTAGAACTGACAAATATATGAAATGGCATTAATGCGCACTTGACGGAACATTTATCGCATACTTCCGCAAAATGGTTGACAGTCAGATTTCCACGGACCCTTATTCATCGTTACGTTCTATTGTGCACTCACTTTCGACAAGCTTCTGTAGACTCTTGCGCATGACGTGAATATTACCGATACCAGAAAATTGAAATTTAATATTTTCATAAAACGCTTCGTTCTCATAACCCTTGCCCGCCGCACGATTAACCATGGCGTTTATCTGAAACAGAACACTTAGCATATAAAAGTTAGCTTGAATGACATATAAAGTGCTTATAGGTAACACGCTAAACCATCCTGTACCAGGATTAATTAATTTTGACCAACGTATTGGTAAAGAATGATGACATGCCTTGATTGATATAAAACTTTACATTTTTTTTTGACGCCCATCAGTGTCTGCTCCCGTTGCAAGGGCTCCTGTAACCCCGGGGCTTCGTGTCATTAATAAGGCTAATAGAGCTATTGCGAACCCTTGCTCTAATAACCATAAGGTGTATTTTACATACAACGCATTAACTGCCAGTCTCACTCAAACTCTGCGGGAACCTAACGTGGCCTGCGATGGCGCGATATTGACTCAATGTGATTGGCCAGAATTTGCCTCACTTCGAAATTTAGAATTCTACGCAGGTACATCGATGAGTCACTTTAATTGTATTTGTATCTTACCATAACTACGCTTAATAACAAAATATTAATAATAGCTATCGACAGATTAACTAAGAGTACGTATACAATTGTTCTCACCCTTGGTCGTGTGTCAACAACATACATGTAGCCGCAATTGGGATTAGCTCTCCTGATAAGATCAAGCATTTGTTCATCCTCCATACACCTGATGGAAAAGAAAACTAATATTTGAATAAAATTACAATGCTGAACGTTAGAAGTAGTTACTTGAACTGGGCTAAACTAAAATTCAGAAACCGATTCATTTGATATTCAGGTACCAACTTCCACGAATTGTAAATAATGAATATCTTAAAAATAACTTATGCAGTATACAGGATTAAATCAGTTTTACTTTACATTACCTAGCAGAAAATCCACTTAGTGGCTGACTGCATCTCGCTATGGCGGCCTTATTGTGGTGAAGGTACGCCAGCGCCGGAAGACGCCCACGAGACCTGAAGCTCGCGCTGCCTAATAAGATAGCCGTTGTGGCTTTTGCTGGTACATATATCTCACTGGGGTAAGTATCACATAACTGCAAAAGTCAGATATTTCTAAATAAAAAAGAGAAACGATCTCAAATATACAAAAACATCGTGATTATATATTCGTTCATAGAAAGTATTGCAAAAATTTACTGAAAGGCAATTATACGTTACCAATATACCTACTTAATTAAGCAAATTGAAATGCTCAGAGAGCCGAAATATACAATTAACCTATATGAAGTGGAATAATACCTCATAATCCTTGTTGGCTGTACAGAGCACCCACTGATCGTTAGGCACATTCATCCTTTGAAATTCTGTTTGTATATCGAAAAAATTCCAACCGGCTGACTTAGGTAAGTCATCAGGAGTTTGTTTATAGTGGAAACAATATAACTCGTCGATATGAACTAAAAAAAAAACACATTATTTATGAATTTATAGCAAGGATTAAAAAAGGTATCCTTTACAATTATTAGCAAAAAATGTGGAATCGGAATCTAAACTATTTAAATGCTAAAAATATATTTTGTCGGCTTTATGCTTTTTTAGCTATTCAGTAAGCATTCTTCTTTCATAATTGAATAGTTAAAATTATATTATTAATATTAAAATTGAAAAATATTCTTATAAAGGATCCAAAGTTGAAAGTTGAATTATATTAAAATCGTTGTTAAGTATCATGAAAAAACGGAAATGTTGGCAGACCAAAAAACCAAGTCCACTGACACACGAAAGCAGCGGCGGAGACTCTGTGTGCTCGTTACTTCTATCGGTATACTAGAGCGGTCTGTACTGTTATCAGAGACAACGAATCGATGGCCATTATCTAAATTCAAAACGATTTATACAAAAATTGACATCGAAAATGCAAAATGAAGGATTTGGGAAATACCCACATTAAAGTTAGGTCTTTCGTGGCATATGCTTTGTCTCCACTCCGCGCATTGTACTAAATACAAAACATCATATATAAAAGCTTGACCTGTGCTGATTCACTTATAAACTTTACCTGGTTGACTCAAGCGCAACAGAGTCTGATGCATCTCGTGGCAGTCTCGCTCCCGAGGTATTACGAAGAAGACCGACTGGAATGTTTTGGTGCGAACAAGTAGCGGTGAACCGGTCGTGGTGATCGGAAGCCGTTCTACTGACGATATGTGCATTAAGAGTATCTGCGACAAAGAAAAATAACATAGATACCTGAAATTAATAAAAGCAATCGACTATAACCATATTACAAAGGTACCGGGACCAATTATCAAGAACAGTAGGCAACAACACGATCGAGGGCATGCCTGGTGTCAAAAAAGATGGCAACTTGAGGGTCTATTATGTTTCTTAGAAAACGAAATTTAACATATTTTCGAAACGCTATATTACAACACATGATAATGTGTCTGACGCGCTGTACGATATTAAGCAGGGGTTGACGACTCACCGCAAGCGATCCTTTACCGCCTAGGGTTCCGAGGTTCTGAAACGTCGACGCGGTTACCAGCGAAGATATTGTACACGGTATATAGTCCATAGGCACTGATCCACCGTTCTTCCGAAATTTCCTTATTCTCGATAACGAACAATTCACCAAGCTCAATCAAAATTAGGTGCGCGGCGTTAGCAATTTGAATTCAGAGTAAAAACCGTCACCCAAGGATTAAGGGTGGGGATTTGGAACGAAGACAGCTAATCGCCTTGCCCATAGACAATAAAAAAATTACCCACAGTTGTGTTGTCTTTTATAGTTAATTATCAATCACCTTTCGTTACGAAACACGCGCCGATAATAATCTTTAACAAAACTTTGATACAATTAAAGGAACGTTTCGAAATTATCCCAATTTTCGTATTCGAAGAAACATAGTAGGATTCCTGACTTTTAACTTATCTGAAAAGCAATATTCCGAGTGATTGAAACATCAAAAACTCCGTTATTAATAAATACACGCTAACTTTTCGACGCTTATATTTCTTCAAAGGGTGAAAGGGTGAATTACCCTAGATTTTCAAAGCTCTTATATAATGAAACTTTATCAAGTTTTCGTAATCACATTTATATTACCAATTACATATACTATAAATGTTTGATATTTGTCCGCTTTCACGCCTTCACATCTGAACGTATGTAATTTTGCACCATATTATATAGTCTTAAAAATATTTATTTTGGATTAGTCAGGGATTATTAGGACAGCGAAACCTCGAACCATAATCTTTTTTTATCAAATTAATGGCTTCGATTGTATGATCCAAAAGAATTTGTTTCACGACATTGACTCGATATGTACACGCAAACAAAACATTGATTTTTTTATATTTTAAACACATGTTAAAAGGAAAGATCTAACATTGTATAAAAGGAAATAATTGCTATAAATGATTATAATTTATTATACTTTGGTCATTCGTATTGTAGGAGAAAGACAAACGAAGAATTATTTGCATAATAAAATACACATCGGTTCTACTGTGTATAAATTATGGCACAACCCTGTTTGAATCAAAACCCTCGATTTAATCGGACATTAACTAACTCTGTGTTATTTATTACAAAATAGGGCTTACACTGATTTTAAATTTTAAAATATCTTAACTAAGACAGCTCAAACGGTCGAGTCAAACGGAGAATTCATATACGATATTTACGGGTTAGGGCCATTGATAATCTCTATTTAATTATGTGCTTGCAATAAAAAAGGCGAGTATTAAAAACTAAAAATATTATTTATAAATTTTAGGTATAAAAAAAAAAAAAGATCATAGATTATGTCGAATAGTTTCCAGGTTTTCGGCGGGATTTATAAACCTGCTTGCGCTGGTCATGTAAAATTCGGGCTTGCGGTTATGCTCTAACTAAACAAATATTGCAGAGCAAGACTATTGAAAGATTCAACGCAACATAAGATTGACTACAAATAATTTAATGCGTCATATTTATTCACCAAATTTAACAAAAAATTTTAATGTAAAACATTAATAATAACACCGTTAATGAAATCGCATGAAAGATCGTTGGGTAGTTTTATAATTAATAGCGATAGCCACACCAACAGAGAGGGAACTTCATTTTATAATACGATAATTAAATAAATTTAATAATTACAGTGAAGTCTTTTGTTGAACTTTCATATACATTTAAATATAATTAGCTCTCAATAAATAGAAAACTAGAATTCTTCCTGAATACTGCCGTCAGACAAAACATTATGCGTCGCAATTTACTGTATCTCAAATTAACATGACTGGATAATGGCATATACAAAAGTCGCCTATTATAACCCAATTTGTTCAATCATATTTACAAGGCAAATAAATGAACAAAGTACATCTTTCATATAATCTCCTTCGATTCAAGAAAATAACTATCCTATACCCACCTACAAACATTAGAAATCCCATAAGACAAATACGATTTGTGGGGAAAATAGACCGCAATAACACCGAACGTAGTTTATCAATCTACCCTTTTCATTGCAAACGTAACTAGTTCGCGTGACTTAGCATAATTTATCACGGTTTCTAAATATAGATGGCTTGCCAAAAACTAATTCTGAACTTTCCAATAGAAAGGTATGTCCCTACACTTATTATTGTGATAGATTTCGAGTGGACTGTGATCCTTTAACATTAACATAAAGTGGGAATAACAGTTCCCCAGAAAATCACGTTTCAATCTGATATAAAATGGATGAATTCTTACTTTAGCTTATTAAGCCGTATATACTCAGTTTTATTTCCCTTTGGATTACACGGTGCTAACATTTATAGATATGTTACGGGAATAGAAACAAACCAGCTTATTAATTACTAACCGACATAAACACCTACACAAAAGGTTACCTATGTCATTATAATGACCCAGCAATGTTTACCATAAGTACCGCTTTGAGCAAGCTTATTTCGATTTTAAAATTTGCTTTTATATTTTATGTCAGTGCATATTTAGCATGTTATGCTGTGATTATTGCAAATAAAATTATCATTCATTCATTCATTTTACTCATTGGTGCCAAGTCCCCCTTGTTAAGGTACTATTTTTAATCGACATGACACCCGAGCGCCTACTCTGTTTGTCCGCTGACAAAAATTCGGGATCATAAAATCAGAAGGCTGTTATAATAAAGCAAAACTGTTATCATGTTTTAAAAACGTTTTTTTATTTGTTCCGTTCGATATCCGGAATCCAGCTTGAGTCAAGCACTATCCTTTTTGTAACGTTTCCGGTCCAAAACACTACCTCCCCTCTTACTTCCGGCGCCTGTGCCGCCATCTTGATAATTATTAATTTGTTTATACTAAGATATAACTTTTTATGTTCATTAATTGTATAGATATTATTTTTTTTTTTTAATAATTTCACAAAAATATAATAATATATGTTATGAATAATATCCTTTTTGTACATAGTTTATACTTTTTTAAATCTTTTTGGAATTATATTCTTTGTAGATTATGTATTAGATTTTTGATGTTCCTTATTTTAAAAACGTTCACTTGTCAATATAGTTGTCTTGCACCTGACCCTTGTATTACTTATGCTTCCCTCAGGTTTTCCTATCTTATACTAAGCTATCGATAATATATTTAGAATAACAAACCCATGTTTCTTTTCTCATCTCATGGTCCACGAATATGAGATGAGTCGTGGCAAAATACAGGGTGCCCTTAGAGGGGTTCCTCAAGTTGTACTTGTCCAGCATCTGCACATTTTCCAACTGCAACAATCATAAAAATTACATTAATCAAAGTCATGGCATCATAAATGTAAGTAATCTAATCACATACATTGCTCATCACATCACAATACAGTAAGTATTGAACGTCGAATGCATTTTGATTGAATTCGATGCTAAGCAAACCAAAGTCAATCGAGTAACGAGATTGACCTGCAGGTCGTGAAATCTCTAATATCAATATTTACATAACAATGTTTCCTTATATTCATCATCGTCAGTTTATCAATGTGGGATACCTGGGATCGAATCGAACAGAGAGAACTGGCCATGCATGACCCATCATGAGTACCGGGGCCCCAGTGCGGGTTAGTGGATGTTGACGACTGCCGGATGCAGCTGTTTAACGTGACATTCCGAACCACGGAAAAGCTTGAGGTAAGAAATTTATGGTCACACATTTTATGACGGCATTTGTGTAAGTCGGCAGTAGCGGCAATAGCAGACCGAATCCGTTAACTATTGCCTATCGTCCTCCTAGTATTACAGTGTTTAAAATTTCGACTCAAACAGAATCGGAACTTCGTCTTTTGCAACTTCTGTAATATTTATATTGTGTATCTATATTATCCGAACTTGCAACAGTGAGCCTTATTATCGCTGATGAATTTAATCAGTATTTTGGTAAATATAATATTATCACTTTTTTTTAAACCACACCTTCAAAACCGCATTAATTTCCCCGCGCCGTATCCGTAATCTAGACAAATCACAAAAGATAATTGAAAAATATCTTTTTACTTCAAGTCAAGATTCAAGGTTCAGTGAGTAAGCCTCGAATCTTATATCTTTATCCAGTTTATCCCTATCTGAAGTGGAAAATCAACTAAAATATCAAGAAAAAAGTTTCGAGAAAATGATGGAATTTGACCTGATTTCTATTATACCATAAGCTTAAATTAAAATTACCAAAACATGCAAGATTAAATAAAATAAATAAAATATTATTGTAGACCAATTTTCTGAGAAACGATTGTTAAAAATATCAAGTAAAGTCCGGTCGCCGAACGGAAAAAAAACGTACGTCGACTTTTATGCCAACTGATGGACATCCTATTTATTTCAAGTTGTCTTTATTATGATAAAATTAGCTACATACATCTGTGCGAGCGTTTATAATTAACCAAGCATGGCACAGGAGCGACAAGGACAGATAACGCCAAAAATTCCACTTAATTTTCAAGAGGTAAAACAAAGTAGAGAAATCTGTCAGTTTAATTTAATCCGACTCGAGCTCTATTGACCGATAAAAAGATGTTCAATACATTTTTTATTATTTCCAATAACTGTTAAACGCTCACGCTCATGCCTCAGACCAACAAAACAGTAGGTACACGTTTTAATGAAAAACAAAACAAAGCTCCACCTTGGAGCCAGAAAGATTTACGAGCTTTTAATTAAAAACTTTTTTATTAACCTTGATGAATAATTAAGAAATCATCTATGAAAGTTTTTAAATGAATATACCCATAATAAATTGTTCTCTCACCTAAGTTAAATTATTTAACAAAGGAAAAACATCAGGAAGTCTTTCATAAAATTGACAAATTATTGAGCGCTTAGTACATGTAAAGTGTGGTTTTAACTGTTAATTCTGTTTATATATTGACGACCTCCGTAGCCGAGTGGTTCGCACGCCGGTTTCAAGGTGTCGCCATCTCTGAGGTCCCAGGTTCGATTCCCGGTCGGGTCAATGTAGAAAATGAACTTTTCTATATTGACTCGGGTCTGGGTGTTGTGGTACCTTCGTTGTCACAGATACTCCATAATACGGGGGCTTTAACTACTCATCTTGGAATCTGAGCAATGTATGTTATGTTGTTAAATATTTATTTATATTATCTTTTGAAGATTTAATATTACACCTCGTTATCTATTTACCTGTGTGCTAACACAGTTTAGAAGTAATGTATAAAATACTAGTTAAAGGCGGCTTCCACTGTATGGTCAAGGGGAAATTAGCTTTGAGAGATTTTTTTAGCAGTAAAAAGTAGTCAATGTCCCTATCCAGTCTCCTAACAGTACAAAATATTATACCATAACAGCTCTGCGTTGCAACGTGAAAGACAGCGAAACAAACACATTTTTCCATTTATAATATTAGTATGGATTCCAGGTGTGCGACCGCCTAACTCTCTAGCCATAACTCTAGTCTAGACTTTGAAAGATACTTTAATAACGAAGAATGATAATTAATGATGATTATAAATTTGACAGCAGTGTTCCCAACTTACATGCAGTTAAATTTGTCATTAGTTTAAAAGTTCTTAATTTGAAATTCGGCATTAAAGCTTAATGGACATCAAGTGAAACTTAGTCGTACGTCCACCAAAAGAAATGTCAAAGCAATAAAATGAATCAAAATATCGCCTTAAAATCATTAAGATGTTGTATCCTATGGCTAGACTTAACCTAACCTAAGTCTCTAGGCACACTTCACCCGCGGGGTCGTCAGGGTTCGGCTACCGCACACATTGTTCGGTGTGTGAGGTGGCTGGGCCGTGGTGTCGCGACCGAAGTTGTGACTGAGGGACGGTGAACCGATGACTCGCCTGGCTTATGTCGGGCTGGACATCGATGGTAACCAGGCCTATCAGGGTGAAGGGATTCGCGAGAATTCAGCCCAGGTAAATCCCTACATGAGACGAATAAGGGCTAGGGATGCACAGTTGCGCATCTCTAGCCTTTGACGGGGGGCAGTCTGTGGGTTAGCGTGCTCACCGGGCAGTGCACACCCCTTGTCCTGTCTAGGGGATTCCTGAACTTTCCCCTAACCCGTGGTGGGACTCGCCTCGCAAGAGGTGGGCCAAAACGTGAGTATATTGCGCGGAATATGTTCCCTTCGGGACCTATGCAGTGCTCCACCTGCGTGTGAGGAACATATGTGAAGCGAGTATGCGTAACGCATTTCTCAGCGTCAAAAAGAAAGCGAATAAAAAGGCAAGACCCTAGAGAGTAAGGTAAGGTTAGGTTAGGTCAGCCCAGATCGGCAGCGTGCAAACATAAATAAGACGTTGCCAATATCAAAGAGACAATCCCGTTGTTAAGATCACACTGATAACCGCCTGTCGAAACGATTTACTTTTATAGGTAGCGAAATAAATTGTATTTCCTAAAATAACTTTTGCCCTTGTTAGATGAACAAGGTAACATGGGATGGTATCGGTGTAAGTAAGCGGAGCATGTAGGTATTAATCTTAGGCGTGTTTTTTTTATCTGATACGAGCCTTCTTTTAGAATATCAGAATAAGTATTATAAAAATATTGGGTAAAGCTTAAGACTAAATCATACAATAAAAAAGTACCTATTGCAAATGGTATAAACTCTTACGTCTGGCACACTAGTATGAGTAAAATCTGAAGTAAATTAATTATTAGTACATACTTCTACTTTCTGTGGCTATACTATTTGTATCTGGCTGGTTTCGGTATCAACTTTCTTTAATAGTTTGAATTTTAAAAACGATAACTTCGAATTTAATTTAGGTAAATGAGCGATTTACATTTGTTTTTCAAGATTAGTGAATCTAATGAAAAAATTTGATAAATTTTAAAATTTTATTACAAAAAAGGGAATTATGTAATGCAAGCCGCGAAAAAAAATTATGACGTTTATGGACCTAGTGCAGTTTCTGTGAGAGCACAAATTTAGTTTAAGCATTTTCAGTCGGGATATGCACGTCGCTCCGTTTGCCCTGTTACGGATAAAAAGGATGCCATTTTTGAAAAAGTGAAGCAAAATCGGCATAACAATGACGTAGCTGAAGTACCGGGGATAAACCACAAAACAGTTTTGGCGCATTTTTAAAAAGATGGGTACACAAAAAAATTGTATAAGAGCTCACTGAAAGAAACCTAATGAACCGTGTACTCACTTTATTACGGCGTAATTTTTGATCCGAACCGTTTTTGAGAAATCTGAAAACTGGTAATGAAACGTGAAATACGTACGACAAGAACGTGCGAAAAAGGTCCTGCGAGAGCCTCTGCCCCAGTAGTGAAGATATTTATCAGATATGATAATCACAATTCAAACAATTTTAGGCGTGGCTAAAAATCTATCGAATATGCTGCCTAAAGTTAAACTACTCAACACGTAATGGATGTTACTATTACTTATGCATATACATGTATAGTTACTTTACAAAATAATCCGTCTTTGTCATATATATAACGCTAACGAAACTTGTACACTTTTTAGAGAACCATTTTGCTGAAAGGATCTGAACAAATTGTGATCGATGTGACAACGACCATCAATCTCGACGACAGCAGAATTATTTGATAGATAATTTTGAGCGTTTTTAAAGTAGCAATAAAGCAAAGTATACAAATAAATAAATAAAAAAGTGAGACACGAAATACATAAAGACGAAATGTAAAAAAATTGAGGACTTTAGTCCAAAGGAAAGTTAATTAATAATAGATGTGACATTTAATTTATATAAATAGTTTAAAGCAGTTTCTAATATGGAATGGGCTCCAACCCATCTAATAATGCTTTCTAATCTTATGAACCACCCCTTTGCTGTGGGCAGACATATCGTATATAAAAAAATTAAATGTATTTATATTTGTGAAGTAGCTCGGTTGCGTAGTGGATAAGCGCCGCGGTCCGCGATCGTTCTCGTGAAGCAACTTTCGCAAGGGTCGGTCACGGGATGGTCTTCGGAAGGCACGTTAAGCCGTTGGTTCCGGCTGCATTTGCAGTCGTAAACACCCTCCAATCTGCATTGGGCCAGCGTGGAGGGTCACGACCCATCCACCTTAACCATCCATAAGGAAGGCCTGAGCCCCTGCAGTGGATATGTAAAAGGGCTGATGATGATGATGATACTTGTGAAGTGGCGTTCGCTGTTAGGGCCCACTCAATATCAACATGTTTTGAGAAATACTGGTTTTTAGTCAGGAATAAATACTACAATACAGCACTAGCTTATAAAACATGTTTATAATATTTCAAGATTCCGCCGCGACACTTTTA